GCAGCTGCTGCTGCAGCAGCAGCAGCGGTCGTTGTTGTTGGTGTCGGTGTGGTTGGGTTGTAGTTGTTGTTGTACGCGTTTGGTAGTTTCGTGGGCTGGTTGTTTGTTTCTGTATTTGGTCGATTGCGTCGTTCTTTCATTGCTGTTGTGTTAGTCATGTAACTGTTGTTTGTATGCTTGGTTAGTTGCTTGGTTTCTTGGTCGGCTGCTTGGTTGGTTGGTTGCTCGGTTGCTTGGCTTCTTGCTTGCTTGCTTGCTTGCTTTCTTGGTTGCTTGGTTGGTTGGCGTTTTTGTTTTGGTTGGTCGGTTGCCTGTTGTGCTTTATTTTCGTGTGCTGGGTGTTTGTTGTTTGCTATGGTACGTAGGTAGGTCGGTAGGCAGGCAGGCAGGCAGGCAGGCAGGCAGGTAGCTAGCTGTCTTTTAAGGCTTTGTTAAACAGAAAAGATGGGAATACATAACTTTCATCAGACCGTCATCGTGCTGGTAGTCGTCAGGGCGGCAGCATGTTCGCAACTATGACGAAAGCTTTGGTCTGAACAGTATCACAGAACATGACGGCAGCTCTGGTAAGGTGGGATATACTTTTCGTGTTCAGGAGCAGTTCTGGTTTTACTTTGTCCTGCCAGGTCAATTACGACGCACGACTATGCCTATATGACATGTAGTTATATGCTTTGACTCTATCCCCATCACTCCTCCAGAGCTGGAGAGACATGTATGGTAGCTGGTAGCAAGGCTGCAGCAATCAGAGCAAAAGTGACAGTCACAACTACCAGGCACCGCCAACGCTCGTGACATCGTAGCTGCATTAGTGAACGGGTAGCTACCGCTCACAAGCATGCAACCGCCCAGCAGTGACCTTTGCAATCCAAACCTTCCCACGCTTGGCCCTAAACCCTACATCCTAAAAGCCCTAAATCCTAAAAGCCCTAAACCCCAAAAGCCCGAAAGCCATCTAAAGCCCTAAACCCCCAAATTCTAAACCGTAACAGCTGCTCAGGACGGCATCATGTCGCCCCGGGGCGGACCTGGCCACGGCCCCAGCTCGCTGGCAGCAGGATTCAGTTCAAGGGAGTTGATTTAATGTAGGGGCTTTAAGAATTAGAACAGGGTTTTGGGGGGTTTCTTGTCACAATTGTAGTATAATATACTCCAAACCCTAGTCCAGTTATTAAGGCGCCTATGTTACGCTTGCTTGATGGAAACGTATTCTAACCTCACACAAACCCTATTCTGATTATGAACGCCCCTATATCACACAGAGCCCAATACCCCTTAATTGAGGAATATAGCTTAAATTACTTAAGCTCTATTCCTTAATTAAGGGGTATTGGGCTCTCTGGGTATCACACAGCAGCTGAGGCGTCCAGTTCAGGGGACCTCCAAGGACGCCGAGAGGCTGGTGTGCTCCGGGGAGTGGCAGATGTTCAAGAGTTTAGGAGTTTAGGAGTTTAG